CTAATAATTAGATTCATTGAACATTGCAATCTATTGTCCTCTAGCATTAGTAGACTAAAACTAATGGTATTCTTGAGAAGATGAAACCATGAGATTTTGAAAGTGTTTTTCTCAATCTCTAAAAATTCTCCAATTAATTCAATTAAAATGTAAATATCAAGATTAAAAATATAAAATTAAGCATTAAAAATCATATTGAATCAATTGTTCTCTCCTAAGCAGAAGGGATAACTAACTATGAGGGCTTGCTCTTATAGAAAATTTAAACTTCATATTTAAATAAACCTTAATATAAATATTAAAGGAAATTTAGTTAAATAAAAAATAATCTAACTCTTGATAAATAAGCTCCTAGTTTTAGAAGGTGTGTTTGTTGATCTTCTATATATGTTATATTATGGATGTTTTGATAGCTTTTGGATTAAACAACTAATTTGTACTATCTAAAAATTTAATTATATTATATCTCTTAAAAAGCACTTTATTAAGGCCGATTAACCTCGAGTAGTTAAGATTATTTAACATTCCCATTATTTCTCAGCCACTTGTTGTTAGTTAATGTTACTACTCTTTGAATTATGCCGGTCATTATATGTCTCTAGGGGTGTTACTCTTACCATCATGTTAGTAGATTTCATAATATTATTGTGTTGAATTGGATGCTTAAGTTATTTTTGTGGACTAATGGTTGGAGCCTTTATTGAATTATCATGTTGATCTAAGTCAGTACCTATTCCATATTATTGGTTTCTTAGAATATCTTAAGTATAGTGGGAATGCTAATGGAAGGTTTCCTTATTTCCTTTTTTTTTTTCTTGTGTCATACTTTGGTTAGTTCTTTGTAAGAATCATGTATCTTATAACTAGAATATGGATATTATGGATTATTATTATATTTCCTCCTTAGTGGTGGTGGATGGCTTTATTTGGTTTTAATGTTTTTTTCAACCTTCATTGCAATAGATGCTTTAACATTTCTCAATTTAATGGCTTATATCTTTGACACAACAACTATGGAATTTGGTTGTTAATTAGGGAGGTCATTCCCTTCCTTGTTGCCCTAGCTATATGTAGTGTTGGCTTGCTTGCCTTTTCTTTCATCATAATCATGATGGTGTTATTGAACATCAACAATATTAGCACTTATTGTAGTATTTGGTTGTTTAATTGTTTTATAATAACTAGCTTTTATGTACTTAACTATAGAAATTTCTATAAGCACATCAATCAAATTCTATATTATTTTTCTAATTTTTGTCTTTCTACTAATTCTCCTATATTTTTATAAAAAGTATTGTTAATAACGATAATAAGTAACATGCATGATAATTGAGAACATTTTTATTACTACTCCTTTTACATCTTTATTGCTTGAATCTTTACATAAACTTTTAGAGGTACATTAATCATCTTAATCAGTTATATGTAACTATATGTTGTGATAGATAAAATTTGTTTAATATTTTAGATTTATATAAAGATTCCCCACACACAAGTTATTGAGAATTTGTAAGAGATAGCAAAATTTTATGACGAAAACCTTGAAGGGGAAAATCATGGAGCTTGGCCCAATTAAAATGTTCCCACTGATATATATTATTGGTTAAAAATGATGGCCTTTTTTTATAATTAAGGAAAGTATTAATGCAATATTGTAGGCTTTAATTATAGAGGATTGATTCCAAAATGGGAGTTGCAAGCATCTCAATACACCGAAGCTATCGACATAATATAATTTGTTATTTATTTGGTCATTATCCACTTAGAAAAGGAAATAAAAAAATAAATAAGACGTGTATAATAATTATGCTAATATATGGAGTTAGAGTTGATGTCGATGATACCCATCAACCTAATAGGAGATGGCCAGGGTCGATTTAGAGGACAATAAAGGGCAATGAAGTTAGCAAATGAGATATCTTTATCAAGAGTTAGTGGTCGAAATAACATTGTTGGGCAATGATATTAGTGAGGTCATTGTGGTGCGATGGAGTTCAAAAGAAGTTGACTAATGGTGATCACAAGATCATACTTAGGAGAATTGTAGTTAAGAGAATGATCAGATTATTGTAATTATGCAATTGTGGATGAATGAATGTGGCTAAACTATGGTGGTTGGAGAACCATAATAGAGAAATGATGCTTAGTTTATTTTAGCTAGGTTATGGTGGTTGAAGGATCATAGCTTGGCAATAATAGTTAGAGGATCTAGTCTCTCAATGATGGTAGGAGGACTCTTGGTGATAGTGGTCCAAGAGTCATAATCAAGTAATGGTGGTTACAGAACCATAATTGATTAATGGTGCTCGAAGATAGTCAGGAAATAGTGGTTGAAAGGCTAAAGGCAATAGTAGAGGGGAAATGATGATTAATAGTCTATAGTTTGGTAAAAAATATTGTAGGATCATAGTCAATAAACATTGGTTAAATTCGGGAACCATGGTCAAACAATAGTTTTTAAAGAACTGTAATTAGGTGATGTTAGTTAAAGGATCGTGGTCAGATGATGTTCATTGAAGAACCATAATTAGGATATCTCAGTTTAAGACCTTTGATGATAGTTGTCAAAGGACTATAGTTGGGTGGTAATGGTCAGAGGACAGTAGTTAGGTGATGATGGTTTTCACACCATAGTTGGTTGACGGCTGTAAGTAGGTCATAATCAAGTGAGGGTAATCAGTGCACTGCAATTCAATGATAGTAGTTGGAGGAATATAGCCAAGTTATGGTGTTTGAAGAACTGTATTCAAGCCATGAAAGTTAATGGACCATAATTTGGAGATCATAATCAAAGGACTATAGTCAGACTATGGTGGTTCAAGGATCATAGTTGAGAGATGATGGTAAAAATACCATAGTTGGTTAGTTGAAGTTGGTCAATTATAGTAAGAGGTGGTAAAATTTTCATAGTCATACGATGGTGGTCAGATGGCCATACTTAGGTGTTAGTGGTTAAGTAATTATAAGCAAGTGATGGTGGTTGAAAGATCATAATCATCAAACAAAGGTTGGAAGATTGTCGTTGAGAATTAATTATTGAAGGACCATAATCAACTGTCATTAGTTGAAGAACCATAGTTAGTGAGGATGCTCAGAAGATAACTGTCAGAAAGTGCTAGTCGATACATTGCAGTCAGATGATGATATTTAAGGAAATATAGTTGGGCAATGATAGTGGAAGGGCCTGAGTTCTGGATTGATAGTCGAAAGACTATAGTTGGTGATGGTAGTTAAGAGATCGTAGTTAGGTGACAATGGTTAGAAGGTCATATTTAAGCAAAGGTAAACGAATGACTATAGTCAGAAAATAATGTTCGAAGAATTATTATCTGGCGACGATGATTAGGGGATCATAGTTGGGTGACGGTATTCGAGATAACATAGTCGAGGGAAGATGTTAAGGAGACCGTAGTTAATTGGTGGTGATTAGAGAATCATAATGAAGTGACAATGGTCAAATGACTATAGTTATATAACGATGTTTGTTAAATAATTGTTAAGTGATGGTGGCGAAAGGACCATAGTCAAGCAACGATGGTTAGATAATCATAGTCGAATGATAGTTATCGAAGGACTATGGTTGGACAATGGTGGTTAAATAGCAATGTCCCAACATTGGTATTCAAAAGGCAATAGTCATAATGGAGGTGGTTGATCGATAGTTTTTTTATGGAGGTGGTTGGTCTAGGGTGGTCAAAGGATGACACTCTCATAATGGGGTTTGGATAAAATTGGTCCAATGAAAGAGCTCTATGTAATTTTTCAAGTTCAGATCGTAACATAAGCACAACCTATCCCTCTCATTTGAAGGATGTAGGCCTATTTATAGATTTTAGAGATATACTTTGGTAAATATATTCAAAATCTCTAAACACTCAATTAGATAAGCCACATTAATCACATTGGTCATTGAACATTCTTTTGTTATTTTAGTACCTAAATGGCATTGGAATTAAGAAATCATGAGATAATTGGATTTATCTCAAGAGGTGCTCAATTCGTGAGATTTTGAGATATTTGGTCTCCAGCTATTGCCTTGAAGTTTCCAATTATACTCTAAGTGCTTGAACAAGGCTTAGGGCAATATATTCGTTTTATGATGTGAATGTTTTTATTATAAATTTGTTCAAATAAAAAATTGAATAATGCAAATTTTAATTCTAGCAAAATAGTTCATTTTTTTGTTGATTGGATCGTTTCTGCTTCTGCTGAAGGCGTCGCCCGTTCCGAATGCTTCTCCGATCCTGAAGTTCTCGCGAAGAGAAAAAAAGCTCTCCCAGGCTCGAGATCGTAACTAATTAAGGGGTTGTTTGGCTCTCTCAAAAATGAATACAATGTAAAAAGAAAGTTGTGTAAAAGAAATACTTCGGAGTTATTTGAATAAGTGTTAAAAAGAATGCATTTGGCTCTCTCAAAAATGAATACAATGTAAAAAGAAAGTTTTGTAAAAGAAATACTGCAGAGTTATTTGTATAAGTGTAAAAAAGAATGCATTATATATATATAGTGTAAAATCTAAAGGGGTTGGTGGTTGATGACCGATGATAGCGATGACAATCGGAGGTGAGTCGCAAGCGAAACTGGTTCCCGGCAATGAGGTTTTGGTGGTCATTGGTGGCGGCACAAGGGATGCTATTATGGTGGTAAGAGGTGGTTGTTGCTGCCACCGATCCGGTTGGTGGAGGCCAACAACGGTGGATAGTTGGCAGCGGCGTGTGTCCATCGGAGGTGGATGGTGGGGGTCTATAGAGGTTGATGGCAATTGGCAATGGGGATTGTTGCGACCGGAGTGGCTTGCAGTGTTAGGGCTTGTTGTGAGCAACAACAAGAGCGATGAATTTATGCTGTATCTGGAAATCATTCAAATATGAAAATATCCAATACATAAAAACTAAAATAAAAATTAAAATTGAAATATTTCAATATTTTACACTATTTATTTTATTTAAAATCAAATATTAATAAAAAATACTTTACACCAATTTATAAGGCCAAGCAGCCGGCTAGTTGATTTTCTCGTGACCGTAGACAATCCCAAACAAATTAAAAAGTTGCATAGAAATCCTTCTGCTCTACTTTCCGATCCTCTGTTTACAATTTTGCTCATGGCTGCACAAAACAAACGAGAGAAAACAAATGACCCAGCATGCAAAATAGATATAGAAAACACAGGTTCTCTTTTTTACTATTACCTCTACTCTAGTCCTTCCAGAGGAGGCAGCGATGGCGAACCCGGTGGGCTTTCAGGGGTTTTCCCGGACTCCGATTGCGACGCCACCAGCATTGAGAAAATATCAGAGGTTCCGACTTCCGCACCAGATTGCAAGGCTGATATAGTCGCGGAGTTCTCGACTTCCTTATCCGCCGGTCTAGTTCTCAATGGTATAGCCTCATAACAGAACTCTGGCAAGGCTACTTGAGCCAGGATGTTTCCAACTAAAAATTTAGAAAAGGAGGTTGAAGTTCCGGCTTCTGCGCCAGGCTCCGATTGCAGGGCTGGCAATTTCCCGGTGGTTCCGGCGACTTTAGCGGCCGGTTGTGTTCCAAAAGTTGCAGCTTTATCACTAGTATCAGGTGGCCAGGCTACTTGAGGAAGGGCTCCAGTTAAAAATTCATCTAAAGAGGTTGAGGCTTCTGCTCCTCCGTCCTATTAATTACTTTCATAAGTATTGCAGCAAAGGAGAAAGAGAGAAATTTTTTTATAAGGAATCAAAATAAATTATTGCACAATTCAATTTTTGAAATATAATAATCAATAAGAATATATAAAAATTGCCTTAGAATATCTTGGCTAAAATTTTAATTGAGTGATTTTAAGTTCAATTTTGACATAAGAGCAATACATATAGAATATACATTGGACTCTCTATACAATAAATTCAATAACTTTAAACCTTATTCTGATGGAAAAAAACTAATTAGATATTTGTTGCAGGTAAGAAATTTGCAACAATAGAAGAAGAGAGTTTTGGATCCTAAATTTACATGAAGATACATCACACAAATAGATAAATAAAAAACATGAATAATATTAGGGTTTCTACTTAAAAAATTTAGAAGGAAAAAAATTATAGAGCGTAACCTAGATGACATAATTCACTTTATTTGAAAACGACAAGGTTACAAGAGGAAGAGTAGCTAGTAGAAAATATTGTGAAGTTAACATGAGGTGAGAAGAGTTTAGGTGATTGTGATTAAGTTATAATAGTTTGATAGTGTTGGTTAGAAGGTGGTGGCAAATCATTAAAAGTGATTGCGCAGTGGTGGTCTAATGGCGATCTAGTAATAGCAATGGTTGGGAAATGATGGTCCGATAGAGATGCTTGAGTGATGAAGTCTAATGGAGGCAATTCTATTGAAATTCAGGATATTGAGCTTATGATTTTGATGATAAGAATTTTGCTTTATTTCTCTTACTACCATTATTGCATATTTGTCTTATGCACATTAAGATTTCAAGTACATTATACACCTTACAACAAAAGATTAAGACTCAAGACTGGATATAGAATATGTTTGATGTTTTCTAAAGTCTATATTTTTATTTATTTATTTTAATATTTTTAAAGTCAAAAGTCTTGCAAAATGTGTATGCTTGCTTAGCAATCATGCACATACATAAAGGGAGTGAAAAATATAAAGTTTAGATTCTATGAAAAATGATATTATATGATCCACATCGCACTGTACTATTTGTTGATAAAAAAATCAAATAAAATGGCTAATTTAGTTATTAATCTTTTTGAATTAATCGTACTGTACGAACTTGATCTTACATGACAATCAATTTAAATCTTGGCCTAATCCGCTAATCAGATTTAGATAAGTAATTTGAATTCTTTTTTATTTTGAACTGATCGTACAATACGATATTTGAAATCATGCCTAACTTATTTCATGTGATTAGTCAATCTCAATTCAACATTTAATTAATGAGTTTGATCGTATGGTACGATCATGATCATGCTGGATGATTTGCATAGATGAATTTTGATCGTCCCAAGGATCATCCTGGAAGAATCTTGATATATTGACTATTCGTATAGTACGATATGAATTGTACTAGACGATCGATATGGATGATTTTTTACCATCTCGAAGGTCGACCTGGATGAACTTAATGTAAATGTACTAATCATATGGTACGATCCATGATTCGTAATGTACGATCATTTTAAGGTACTTGAACTAATCGTATTGAGACTTCTTTATCGTATTGAACGAACAGGGAATTTTGTACAAATCATACTATATGATTCACTGACCGTACTGTATAAACAAAGACGACAAACTTGAAAATTTATAATTTTTAGAAGCCTTGTATTTAAGCTCTTCGATTAGACTTTGAACAAGTTTTTGGCTATTGGGAATTTTTTATAAGAGTGCTTTGAGAAGTTTTGTATTCTTGAGTGGTCTTGGAGATTGGAGAAGAAATGGAAGAACATGTATGTGAGGCAAAAGTAGTGTGATAGGAGATTTCATGCGATTGCTCCATGCAAGCTTCTACTTAACTTACTCCATGTGTCTTCATTGATCTCAGGAAAATTTGAGGAGAAATTTTTCAGGGCCAATGATCATCGACAATTTGCCTCACCAGGAGGGTAAAGGGGATTCCAGGTTCTCTACCTCACAAGGAGGATGAAAAAGATTTCAGTGCCCTACTGCACCAGGTTGGTAGAATAGATTTTGTAAGGGCCTCTTCGCCTTACTAAGGGGGAAAAAGGAGAGTCGCTAAATATTTAGTGCAATATCCATAGAGGAGGACTCTCCGACGTAGTTTATATTTTGACCGAACCACTATAATTATGGTGTGCTTATTCTTTACTTTTCTTTCCACATATTAATTTCTTCACATTTTACTTTTCTTGCAAATCTATTTTGAGATTATTGAAATTTTTTTATTTAAATTTTACTCGAAAAAAAAAATTTAAAATATGATAAACAAATTAAATAAAAGAAAATATATCTCCTTATTTTATTTTTAAAAAATTAAAAATAGAGAAAATATTTATTTCATTATTTTCTTCCACTTAAGTTTGTGTAATTGGTTTTAAGTTTTCAGAAGAATATCCTTGAGATAAAAAATACCAATTCATCTCACTAGCCTTGGGCAGTTCAAGTGGTTTCACAAACCATTCTTAAACTTTCAATTGAAATCAAAGAGGTTCTATAGAATTGCTGGTTTAAAAATCTTGAGTATATATAATGACTAATTTCATTGGTAATCATAATACTAATGAAAGATATTAATTAACTCGTCCACAAATTTTTGGTAAAATACTGTATAATTTTTGGAAAGTTTGCATGTTAACATTTATTCAATCTATTGAGATAATAACTAACATGTGGACTACATTTACTAAGATAGTAACCTCGTTACATGCACTTGGTAGAGAATTGTCTAATTCTAAAAAAGTCAATAAGATTTTACATTACTCGTCTGATAGTTATGATGCTAAACTTACTGTCATTTTTGAATCAAAAGACACGAACACTTATTTTATTGATAATCTACTTGACTCACTCATTTCTTACTAGCAAAACATGAGTCAAAGATTGCTTGATGCAATGACAGGATGAAGGAGAAAACAGTGGCACTAAAGACTAATGACTCATATAGCAATAACTCTGCAGTTGTAGTTGATGGAGATGATGATATAGTATTAATGACCCAATAATTCAAAAACTTATTGAAGAGAAAGTAAAGACATCATCAATATTGGAAAAAAAAAGAAAATCAGGTAGAACCAGTAAAATTTCATCTGACACTATCTATTTTGAATGCAGGAAGTATGGAAATCTGAGGTCCAAATTCCCCAACTTAAGAAGTCATCCTAATAAGGAGAAAAGTGAAGAAAAATCAAGTACTGGAAAGGTTGATGAAAGAAAATATACTAAAAAGGGTAAACATCAAATGCAGAAAGCCTTCTGGGCATAGTCCGCCTCGGATTCTTCAGCAAAAAAGAACTAGAGAAGGAGGTAATGAACATATGCCTTATGGAAAATGATAAGCTTGATAATTCTAATTAAGAAGAGGTATGTCAATTATCCTATGATGAGCTATTCATTATTTCTAAAAAAATTCATGACTTATATAGGAAGCTTAAGAAACTGCATGCTAATTTGAAATAAAATTTTTTTTGATCTGAAAGATAAACATAACATACTAATTAAAGAGCATGCAGATCTAAAATTCGAGCAAATTTTATTGGATAAAGAACATGCATCATTACTAAATGAATTTGATGGTTTAAATAAGAATCATATTGAACTAATCAAGTCAAATAATTCCTTAAAAAATGAACATATTGAGTTAGAGGAAGTATCAATGGAACTAGAGAGTTACAATGGAACTATAATATAATGAGCATGTATTAAAATTTAAATTAAATTTATGAAAATGAAAATAATTTTTTAAAAAGGAAAGTATTTGCACTTTTAAATAATACACCATCGCATGTACTAACACAAAAGCTTCAATCTACACTAGCACAAAGGTCATTACCTAAAACACACCATGTATCTAATATGCCTAGTAAGAGGCATTATCACTCACATAGGTTAGTAAACCTATTCTCATATGTTAGGTGTTATTCTAATGGCACGGCGGGATAAATAGCCCACACTTGCACAATAAAACATAGAATACATCTTATGTGGAGACCCAAATCATTTGCATCACAGCATAACATGCATTCCATCTATTCGTTAAAGCATAAATTGGAACCCAAACTCACTTGAGTTCCCAAATCTAACCATTAATTAACTTTATAAGGAGTATCTCACAAAAGGCCTAGTGAGAGCATGTGGTACCTAGACAACGGGTGTTCAAGACATATGATTGGAGATCTGAAGCAGTTCATCATGCGTGAGGCCAAGAGCGGAGGCAAGGTAACTTTGGGTGATAATACCACTAAGAAAGTTGTGGACTCAAGTACAATGGGAAAATCAAGTAATTTTATTATTGAAAATGTTCTTTTGGTAGATAGCTTAAAACACAATTTGCTTAGTATAAGCCAACTTTGTGATATAAGTTTTTATATTAAATTCCCTTCTAACAAATGCATGATCACCTTAAATAAAAAAAAATCATTTCAAAAGAAAAAAGAATAAATAATATTTATATGCTTAATTTATCTTGTATTGATAATTATGATAATATGTGCTTGAAAATTGTGTTGGATGAATCGTCATTATGACATATGAGACCATGTCATGCCAGTATGAAAACTCTTAGAAAAAACCATCAGGATTTGGTTAGAGATATCCTCAAGCTAGAACCATCTGTGTGATGCCAGCTAGCTAGGAAAGAAAACTAGGTCATTTTTCCACACCATTAAGGATATCACCACTACAAAACTCTAAGAAATTCTGCCTATGAATTTGTTTGGTCCTTCTAATACATCCAGCTTAGGTGGAAAAAGATTTGGACATGTGATTGTGGATGATTATTCAAGATTTATATGTGTTAGATTCTTAGCTCACAAAAATGAGTCATTTGATGAATTTAGAATGTTCTCCACTTGGATTCAAATAAAATTAGGCTGTGAGATTTCTATTATCCATAATGATTATGGTGGAGAGTTTGAAATGAGAAGTTTGAATCTTCTTGTAAGAAATTTGGGATTAAACATAACTTTTATGCCCCTAAGACCCCTCAGTAGAACATAATAGCCAAAGGAAGAATAGAACTTTAGTGGAAGCTACAAGGGCTATATTAGCTGAATATTCCCTCCTTAGATACTTTTGGGTAGAAGTAGTGAATATTGCTTATTATATTTTAAATAGGGTAAATATTATATTAAAATTGAATAAAACATCTTATGAATTGCTTAAGGGTAGGACATCTAACGTTTCATATTTGCATGTCTTTGGGTGTAAGTTCTTTAAGTTCTTTATTCTTATCGATGATAAATCTCCTCTAGGAATGTTTGATTCTATGTCCGATGAAGGCTTCTTCTTAGACTATTCCTCTATAGGTAAAGCCTGTAGGATCTTTAATAAGAGGACCTTAGTTGTATAGGAGTCTTCCCATATTATTTTTGATGAATTAGATAAAACTGAGCCTAGGTTGGAAAAAAGATGAAGAGGTAGAAGCTACCTAAGGAGTAGAGTCTATTGACCTAGGTGATAGAGAAGAAGCTCAAATAAAGTTTCCTAGAGAATGGGGATACTCATCAACTTACCATAAGGAGATTATCTTAGTAGATCCATCAGTAGGGGTTATAACTAGGCAAGGCCTTATGAAAGAAGTTAGTAATATTACCTTTATTTTAATGGTAGAACCAACAAATATAGAAGCATTGATTGATAAGTTTTGGATCCTAATTATGCTAGAAGAGTTAAACCAATTTCTTATGAGTCATGTTTAAGAGTTAGTTAGTAAACCTAAGGACCAAAGTGTAGTAGGTACCAAATTGGAATTCAAGAATAAGATAAATGAAACTAAAGCAATAATTACAAAAAAGCTAGATTAGTTGCTAAGAGGTATAATCAAATAGAAGGTATATATATATATTATATTATATTAGAGCCCTATAGTTAGATTGAAAGATATTAGAGCCCTACTAACATTTGCATATATTAGAAGATTTAAGTTGTATAAGATGGATGTGAAGAGTACCTTTCTTAATGGGATGATTAAAGAAGATGCTTATGTAAAAAATAAACCCAGTCTTTAAAAATTCATCATTTTCCAACAATATCTATAAATTAAAGAAAATTTTATATGGTTTGAAACAATCACCTGGGAAATGTTATGAGAGGCTTAGTATATTTCTCCTAGATAGATCTTTTGTTAAGGATAGCATGGACCCTACCTTATTCCTTAAGAAAATAATATATGATTGCTCACAATGCAAGTTTATGTTGATGACATCCTATTTGGATCTACAAATGAAAACCTATGTAAAGAATTTTTAGAGACTATGAGCAAGGAGTTTGAGATGAGCATAATGGGAGAGTTGAGCTACTTATTTGGATGTAGTATAAAGAAAAAAGAGGATGGTGCATTCTTGAGCCAAACTAAGTATATTAAAGAGATATTGAAAAATTTTAACATGGAATGTTCAAAAAGTATAAATATACCCATAAGCTAAACCATCCAGCTTGATAAGGATATAAATGGAAAATGGATCATAAGAAATATAAGAGAATAATAGGATCACTTCTTTATTTGATTGGTAGAAAACTTGATATCATATTTAGTGTATGTTTATGTGATAGATTCTAAGCTAACCCAAAAAGAATCCCAGATGATAGCAGTGAAGAAAATTCTTAGGTCTCTCATAGACACCCAAAACTTAAGCATATGATATCCTAGACATAGAACCATCTTTGACATTGTAGGATACTCAGACTCAGATTTTGTAGAGTGTAGAGTACATACGAAAAGCACTTCTAAAACCTATTAGTTCATTGGTCAATCTTCAATTTCTTGGTCTAGCAGAAAGAAAAACTCTGTAGCTCTATCCATAGTTAAAGTAGAGTACAGAATAGTAGGGAGTTGGGTTGCCCAAATCTTATGACTGAACCAACAAATCCTTAACCTTGGACTTTCTGTATGTATACTATCAATTATGTGTGATAACTCCTTTTAATGAATCCAATTCAACATTCCCGCATAAAGCATAGATACATCATTTTATTAGAGATGTTGTAGTACTAAGGGAGACATAGAATTGCATCATGTAACTACTAAAAATCAATTGGTAGTCAATTTCACAATATTCCTAATAAATGGCATCTTAAGCACACTGAAGATTAGACTAGGTATCATTCACATTCATGTTTAGATAATTTGGAGTAGAAGAGAGATTAGAAGCATGTGTAGTTGTTTGTTTACTATATTTTTATCTTATTTGGTTGTGCTTATGTTTATCTATTTACTTTTTTTTTTAATAGCTTATTAGTAGAAGATTTCCCTGATCATCACACACAAAAAAAAAATTTAAATTTAAAAAAGTCATAATCATATTATATGAACCACTTCGTATTGTACAATCAACAACACACTTGTAATCCCCCATCATCCATGAATTTTATGTCCTAGATTAGATCAATTATTAATGATTGTATCGTGCGATCACGTATTCGTACTGTATGATACACGTGTTATAAGATATTGGATGAATTAAATAGGCTGATAAAAAATTAAATATATATCCGTAGTATACAAACACTTGTTCATATTGTATGAACCTTTTAGTCAAAGGTTGTACCATATGACTCCTTCGGATGAATGCTTTTATGAAGATCGTCTAGTACAATTCTGATCATATTATATGATTTGACCACTTTTTTTGATGAATCATCCAGGATAACTTGAATTTTTATGATAATCTAGTACAATCTACATCGTACAGTATGATCAATTGAGGATTTATAAAGAAGGGAAGGGCTAAGGCTTTTGGACCATATTAAATGAATTTATTCCTCTCTTAACCTTTTATTCTTATCCATAGCATTCTTGCATGACCGATGGTAAGTGAGCTTGAGTGTTAGTGGGAAGTTCTTCTTGAAGACCAGCAGATGATAGGTTCTCCACAATCAAGGATGAGGTAGCCTATCACAGATTTAAGATAGCATGCATCACACCCTCATGCATTCTAGACCAACACCTTCTAAATTATCAGGTTATTGAACTTTTGCAAACACCACTCTTCAATTCCTTTTGACTGAGTTTTCTTTCCAACTCAGAAATTTTGTATGAGCTCTTAGAAAGTTTAAGAGTCATTATGGAATCCGACATATGTAGGGATCTAGTAGAAATCACTTCCAAAGATATTGTTGATATTCTAGACCTATCTAATGAAGGAGTCAAGCCACCTAACCTATTCACTAGGGGAGATTATAACTAGACCACTATCAATCTTACTCTTAAAAATTTCCCATTAAATCAACACCAGCCACTTGCCCATTCATTTAATGAAAATGTTGTTATCATCCAACATGTCCTTCATATCTCCATACTACTTAAGGCTAGAGATAGAGTAAATATTACCCAACTCCTGTTAGTAGCCACCTACCTTATTATGTTTGACAAACCTTTTGATTCTACTCATATAATTATTGGATGTTTTTAAAATCTCACCCCTATTAGACAACAAGGAATCAATCATCGGTAGAATTTAGCTTTAGGAAACCTAATTGCCTTTATCCTAACTATCAAATACCAGCTCATGCATCTTGACCTAGCAGACATCTTTTCCACCTTCTATACTGACAATTCCTTCCACATCCTTTTTATAATAATGAGAGTAAGAGGATGCAAAGGAGGAGGAGCACGAGTTCAATGTAAAAGAGGAAGACCTTCCAGTGCCAGCTCTAGCGCCAACTCTTGAATACCAGCCCAAGCCTATGATGCGATAGTAGAGAGCCTTGACTACTTGGATGTATATGGAATACATAGTAACAAGAGTTTACTCAATAAAGGGAATGTCTCTAGTAGCACCACGACCAACTCCAGCAATAACATGACCAGCTTAAGCAGTAACACGAGATAGATCAAGCCTGGTTCAGCGACAAATTTTTTGCTCTTCACCAGTACTTCTAGCCACCAACACTTGATCAGGGACCATCCTATTTCAGTGTAGTGTGTTATACTGTCATTTTCTTTTATTATTTTAGTTTGTGTATTTCTTATTTTATTTTCTATTTTTAGTTGGTTTTCCCTCCTTTTTGGTGATGTTAAAAGAGGGAGTAGAATGTCAATTGTACTTGGTGATGTTAAAATATCCTTTGTTAAAGGGAGTGTGGATATCACTCTTTTATTTAAAAGCGTAAGAGATGACATACTCATTGTTCAAATATATATTGATAATATATTGGTTGGATCCACTAATAAAAATCTTTGTGATATTTTTTTCAAAAATAATGAGTAAAGAATTTAAAATGAGTTTGATGAGATATTTGAGCTACTTTATTGGTTTTAGCATAAAATAGAAAAAGGATAACACATTTCTTAGTCAATCAAAATACATTAAGGACATCCGTAATAAATATGAAATGGATAACGCTAAACCAATCAATACTCCAATGAGTTCCTTTGTTTAATTAGATAAGGATTCTAAAGGCAAACATGTTGATCAAAAGAAATTTAGAGGTATAATTGGGTAATTACTTTATTTGATTGATAGTAGACCTGAAAATATGTTTATTGTTTTTATCTTTGTTATAGATTTTAAGCTGATCCAAAAGAATCCCATTTATCTTCTACTGTTAAAAAAATTCTGAGATATCTTTTGAGAACTTAAAACTTAGAGATTTGGTATCCTAGGAACAACACTTCTTTTGAAAATATTGAATATTCAGATTCAGATTTTGATGAATACAAGGTTGATCAAAAATTACTTCTCAAACTTATCAATTCATAGGAAACTCTTTAGTTTCTTGGTCCAACAAAAAATAGAATTCAGTATCCCTTTCTACACCTGAAACAGAATATATAGCCATAAGAAGTTGTGTGGCACATGTTCTATAGTTAAAAAAGTAACTCATGGATTTAGGCTTTTCAATTGATATAATTCAAAATTTTGTGATAATACAAGTGCCATTTGCATTTCAAAGAATCCAATTCAATATTCTAAGACTAATCATATAGACATTATGCATCACTTCATTTGGGGATCATGTCACAAAATGGGAAATTGAGCTACATCATATAGCAACTGAAAATTAACTTGCAGATATTTTCATAAAATCACAGGTATTTGAAACTTTCAAGACCTTAAGAACCAGATTGGGTGTTATTTATATTCATGCATGACAATTGTAATTTTATAAATCATGTTTGTGGTGTTTTTCCTTTGTGTATATGATTGTGTTTTGTTCTTTGTTGTGATTTATTTTTGGTTGACATTTCTCTATCTATTATTTTTTATTTATCTTTTTATTATTTTTGTTTTTGTGTGGTGTAGATCTTGGCAATTATCTTGGTCATCATGTGAAAATTCAAAATTTTCTTTTTAGTTTGTACTGTATGAACCGCAATCATACTGCACAATTTGCCCATATTTTACATAATTTCTTACTTGACTTATAATATACATAAAATTTAATTTTTATGGTGATCATATTGTATGAAAACATCATCATCTATATGAATCCTTCATTTATTTATTTGTACGGAAAGGGCGAGAATTATAAGGACAGTTATTTTTTTAAAGATCGTATGTATGAACACTTGTTTGTCTGTACGATTCAGTTGTCAGTTTGCATGTGGAAGAACCTAACTAGCAGGTATGATCATTATTAACCAATCATCCTAGACAAACACCTATTCATCTATACAATCAGGTTGGTCAAAGATTGCAAGAAACGATTCATCATAAAGGCAGCTTTACAAAAAGATGTTTCATTGAAATAAATGCTCTTGACTATTTTCATTCGTATGTACAAACCCATATTCATACGGTATGAATTCTGAAATCAAATGTATGATCCAAGTTCATATTGTACGGAAATTTTCATTTTCTAGTCTTCCTTTGAAATTATTCACAATCCTTTACATTTTCAACTATTGTGCTCAATCCTTCTAAAATGGCAGGTAGCAGCAAGTGATCACATCCTTCCAGGGGGAGTTTATCTTGTGTCGAACAAGATAATGACTTTCTTTTCGAAGAAAATGAACAAGCCTTCGATCAGTTTGTTCTTGAAAAAATCACTCAATCCCATCTTCTTATCCAAGAGAACATTAATCTTTCTATAATGCCTCTATTCGACTTTACTCATTTTTCCTTTATTCTCTCTTTAATTTATGCATTCCACTCAAAAACTTTCTATTATTTTCTTACAAACCTAAAAATGAGAGAAAATCCCACAAGAATGTCCTCATATATTTTCCATTAAAGAGTCGAAATTACTTAGGAAGATTTAGGTACATTTCTCTATCTTAGAACTGAAGGAGTTAGGACTCATTCAATGACTTTTAGAAGTGATTTTGATTGGTCTCAAGTAAATCAAATACCTAGGGGTATAACTTCAGTCTCACATTTGCCTCTTTTTCATACCTTAAATCAAAATGCTAGGATCATTCAGCATGTCTTAAGAACTTCTATTATTCTTACAGCTAGTGATTAAATCAATATCACACTTTTACTTTTAATTATCACATATCTTACAATGTCAAACACTCCTATTGATGAAGCCCAATTGATTCTGGACTTCATCAATAACCTTATGACATTTGACTTCCTTCCACCAGAAGAAAGAAGAATATGGTTTTAGGTCACTTAATTGCTTAAATTTTGGAGAAAAACTACAATCTTATTCATCCTAATCCTCAAGATAATCTGCCAATATATTTTACTGATGCTTCATTTCACACTCTTTTTCACCGGAATCAAGGGGATGAGGGAGATGAAATTGGAGAAGAAGGACCCATCTCCAACACCTGCACCTACTGATGGACTTGAGCATCATTTTTATCAAGAAATGGTTCACCAATTTGATCGACTTGAGTCTCATTTTGATCAATAATTTGATCATATTGAGACTCGCTTAGACCAGTAGGATGTTAGATGCAATGAAGATATGGATAGGGTTAGAGGACAATTTGATTCAATCAATACTCAAGTAGCTACCATAAAAACCTACTTTACCATGTTCAATCCTCCATAACCATCTCCAGATCAAGATCCCCCAACATATTAGTTTAATTAGTTTAGTTTTTATTGATGTATGTTTTGATGGTTTAGTCTTTATGATAATGTATTTTGATGTTTTTAGAACAATTGTATTTGCGATATTGGATATGTTATTTTTTATTTTGAATCTATGTTATGTTGTTATTTCATTTAAAAAAAATTCAATGATTAACTTGTTCATTTTTTAATTCTCTAGAGTTGTCTATAAGTTATCATCAACAAATTTAACATTGTTGATCTAAAGAATGAAAATTTTAAAGATTTTGCATTACAATGTTATTTCCTTTATCAAATTTTGGTTTATCTCAAACCTTAAATCAAATTATAATTAGATTTAGAAAAGGAGATCATCTTTAGTGTTCTAATAGACATATATCTTATAGTTATCATTATTGCAAAAAGATTTTTTTTTTTTTGTTCACTGTGTTGCTCTTAATGTTATCTATTGGGTTTTATTTTGTGGATTTTATCTTTCTTTTGAGAGATAATCACACAAGCTAAGACTTGTTGATTTACATTGTGGAATGAATAAAATATCAAAAGCTGCACAAAGAGTGCCAAAATTAAAATGAGGTACAAAATGAGTCTAACATGAAAAGTTGTGCAATGTTTGCAAAATAAAATTCAAAATAAAAAGATGTGCAATGGTTGCCAAAATTAAAAAGAGACATAAAATGAGCTCACACTACATATGGTTCTTTCCTCTATATCTCTAATTCTTATAAAAACTCATGCATTTAACAATAATTTCAACTCATGAATTTGAAACTATTTTATTTTTATTTATTCTCTTTGTAATAATTATTCTATTTGATATTTATGTTTTCTAGAACGAATATTACTATGCCTATGGGCAAGAGTGACAACTTCCTTTATTGAGAAGCCAACTATTATTGATTCACTGATACTGATTTATTATTGATGGGAAAATAACATGCAAGCCAGAACTCTTACTTGTATAGTATGACTGCTAGGAAATGCATATATTTATTATTAATAATTACAAATTTTATAATAGATAAATGAATATCATGATGTGCAATTAAAATTTAGGAGCAAACAATGGTTTAAGCGTAGGTGAAAATGACTAGCAATCACAACAAAGGGTAATACTTGTAAGAAAAATGCACAAATAATAAATTTGGGAGGGGTGGCCTGGAACTATTTATGGGGAACCTAAATCATATACATCAAAGAAGAGTGGATAAGCTTTCCTACATCTATTAAGTGACCCAGCTTAATAGCATAGTTTAAAAGGACACGATCTTAGGTCACCTCACTACCATCGGTGCTTGGCAAAAGATGAGCAGAAATGAAGTAGTGCCAAGCCTTAAAAATCTGAGTCGGTGTAAAATAAAGAAAATTAATCACTATCCCTTCCGTTTCCTTCCAAATAGCCCCATTGTTTGGACTAGTAAAATTCTAATGATCCCATGAGTATTAGACAAAAGCGGTGTACTCATCAAACTCAAAGTCATGGGTTTTATATATTTTACTAATACTCATGGGATAAAAGGGAACCCACTTTCCCCTAATAATGAATTTATTGTCCTAGGCCTCCTTTCCATTAGGGAATCACAAAAACAAAAGTAGTGAGCTCTTCATAAAAAGTCTCCAACCCCTTTGCATAATAGCATAAGAAATGCCATAAAACTCAAGAAGCCCCTCAGAGTGATTAGTTGTTTGTACACTATGGAACTAGTGTACCTTTTCTCTGCCTCTACAAAGATAAAGTCTTTTTTATCGTATGAGGATGAGGAATG